GCGGATTAACATGCGTACGCTCTATTACCCCGCTAATTCAGGGCCCCTATTAATTTTTTAAATTTATTTAAGACCGGTAGCCAATCAAATAACCCATCTTTCTAAAACTTAAGTAAAATATAATATACATTATTAATATAAAAATATGTGGGCGGCATATGTAAAAAAAAATAAAACCTTGTGATACATATCAAGTTATGTTTTGACCCGTGCGCACAAACACATCGGACGCGTGAGATCGTATCTAAGGCTTCACCCTAGGGCGGGGGTGTCATTCATACCTGACTCCACGGAGACACTCGTAGGGTCTCTTTTTTTCCCGTTTTCATTGCAAACAAGTCCACGTCTAACTGAAAACCTGTTCACATTGCCCCCCCCCCCCCTCCACAACCCCTCCCCCACCTTCTTCTAAGAGGATATGAACCCGCCCTAGAAAACTATGGCCCTGATTTTTTTATTTTTTTATTTCTTCAGTAGTCGCTCCTTTATTGATAGTTGCCAACCTGGCCTCGCTGCCTTAGGTTGACAAGAAAAACAAAAATCAATTATCTTATCTGGCAAGCCTGAACGCTCGGCGCAAAACGTTCAAACGTATCTGGCGGGGTCAATCCTAGTTTAAGACCAGCCTAACAAAGGTGAATAGCCACGTTTATTTTTATGTTTCCCTTCATTAACTTGCCATTATTTATTCTTTATTTAACCGAATGCTTGATTTATCTAAATTGAAAAACAAATTGAAAAAATAAAGTTCAACAAAAATAAAACTCCACGTATAGAAGTCACGTGAGGAGCTGATTTTAATTCTATTTATAGATTACAACAACATTCTCCGATTTAAAAAAAAATGTTGGACAATTAATTTGCTCACTCCTACACTGTATCATGAACTTTTTACGTGATGTGTTTATATCTTAATCATCCAGTATTTCGTATCGATTAAAGTATAGTGTTGCCCTGTGTTAATATTCTCCCTATACGCAGACGTCAAAACGGAAAAACGCACGTCATTCGTGACCTAGATCCATCGATTTTTTTGTTTTGGTTGGGGCAGGTAGTGATAAAAATACGCGCGAGGGTTAGAAATAGTCGAGTTGGTGGCTGAATTGATTTGAGCTGGGGTGCAGCTCGGCGCCAGGGGACAAAGTACAAAGCTTCACCTCCAACACACGTGGGGATTATCGGATCTGTGTGATGTGTTAATCGGGGGATTGTGATTTGTATGTGGGCGGGGACGGGACACATATTGTGATATACCGGAGCTTAGAATTATATATATATATATATATATATATATATATATATATATATATATATATATATATAGGTACAATATATATATATATATATATAGGTACAATATATATATATATATATATATATATATATATATATATATATATATATATATATATATATATATATGTGTGTGTGTGTGTGTTAAAATCACTCTTTAAATAAATAAATATTTACACACACACACACACACACACATACATATATATATATATATATATATATATATATATATATATATATATATATATATATATATATATATATATATATATATATATATATATATAGGCCTACCCTAAATATATATATATATATAGAGAGAGAAAACCTTATCCTTCCCCACGTAGCTTATAGTAAAAAACAACAACCGACAATCACCCATCCCCACGACGTAGGTACGATACTGCACTCAATGTAACTTTCGCCGTAATAAAATCCTGCACAGATATCGAGTTTACTTAAATCTACATCCGTCTCCAAAAAGGTAAACAAAGATTTCCTCGAAGCAACAATGCGGCAGGGGCGGAACTACAGTGCCGCCAGACCCCGCAATGCGGGGTGGCCCACGCCATTTAGGGGCCCACAGCCGACCATAATCAATTTTTTTATAGTTAAAAAAAATAATTATCTTGCACATTTGACTTGATGGTTGTTTTGTAAAAAGATTAGCGTAGCTGCGGTTGGATTATCTTTATTTTATAGACACCACCCCTCCCTCTTGTATATTCTATTCCCTTTATTTTTAAACCACTGTGAAAGCCGAGTTCTCTTTCTCCTACAATTAAACTTAGAAAAGATAAGCAAACGTTCCATGACTTATTTCCCTTTTTAAATAGTCAAATATGGGTGCTCATCATAAGCTCCTTTTAATAGATTTGTACTAAACAAATCAAAAAGCAATTACTTCTCTTAATTATTATTTTTTTAAAAATAAAATAATTACTAAAGAATGACATTGTATAAAAAGTAAATGTATTTAAAATTAATAATATAAATACAAAAAAAAATATTCATAACACGAGACACAATTACTTCTACAAAGCTTTCATGTTTTATATTCTTTTGGCCGACTAGATTTTCACAGGTGATAAAGCAGTGATAACATTGATTTTCAAAAAACGCACTAATGCACTAACTAAAAAAAAATGCACTAACTTACACACATGACATGATATGATGAAGTAATTTTTTTTAAGTGAAAAAAAAAACATTATTTTTTTCAAAGCCCGAACAGGCCGGTGATGAGTATCCTACGTTCGAATTTTGTGTTTGTGTATATATATATATATATATATATATATATATATATATATATATATATATATATATATATATATATATATATATATATATATATATATATATATATATATATATATATATATATATATAGGGGGGCCTAAATAAAAAATTTGCGGGGTGGCCCTTTTTTTCTAGTTCCGCCACTGCAATGCGGATCATTTAAACTTCCTTGAGGTGTTTCCTGCCCTTAAGATAATGCTTTATCCCTGTTGTAGATCTATTTTGTTTTTCCGTAACGGTTGTCTTGCATTCTTTCTTACAATAATTATGTGGATGACTGGATACTATAATATCCAGTCATCCACTTCGTTGATACCAGAGCATACCCACAGTGTTCTATGTCATAGTGACCCTGTTACCCGCTTGTTTTGTAGTGCAGTGTAGGTTAAACCGTTGAATGTTTGTTTTACAGTTTAGGTTAAACCGTTGAATGATTATATGTTACAATTTAGGTGAAACCGTTGAATGATTGTTTTACTATATATTTGCATGACATATGTGAACGAATGTGTTTTATTACAGTTTAGCTTACAATTATTGAATGATTGTGTCTTGGATTATAGTTTAGGTTAAAATCACTTAACGACTGCTTAAACTCACAATGAAAGAAATATCAATGCATGACTCAAAACGCACAGGGTGACACCAAATAAAAAAATCGTAAAATTTTACTAACAACAAAAAAATGTTTTATCCATTAAGTATTATAAAATAGTAGGAGGAGAGGGGTTGACACCAAACCGAAAATGCATCATTGTTGGAGGGGGAGTGGAGGGTGGGGGGGGGGGGGGGGAAGGGAGGTGACACCTAGAGACAATACTGGGTAGTGGGCCTTGGCTTAAATAATTGTATGCTGGTCCTGCGACTATGCTTTTCGACTATGCCGAGCAAGCATGTGAACTCTAGCTTACCTGCAGTATGAACTGTTGTTGCTGAAATTGGGTACTTTTGTTTCTATTTATTTTATTATTTTTGCTCACTTTATCATTATGTGTCTGTATATTGGGCCATGATTCAAATGAGCAAAATGTTTTTTTTTAAATACTTAATTAAAAGTCTTTAAAAAGTAAAACTACAATTATTTGAGCACCGAATGAGTCGAGGCTCTCAAAAGAAAATAACACTTCAACAACAAAAGATTCAACTTTTAACCTTTGAACACATCCGGTTTACACAGTAATATGAATGGCTATGAAAGCTACGACAAAGTATCCGCCAATCATTGACAGTTCTGATTTCGGAATTTCCCGATTGAATATTTACCCCCAAAATAATGTGTGTGTGTGTGTGTGTGTGTTGTGGAGGATTGGGTGCGTGAAAAGAAAGGTCGTTAATTCACATGTTTTTATTGGCGCGAATCTCGACAAACCAGCCTTCAAAACACTGCGCAAAATAATTCACCGGAAAACATGGGCATTTCTTCACTCCACGAAGTTCACTTAACCTTCCCCGTAGTAAAGATCACAGTCGCTACTTAAAATATTTCACGACCCCCCAGGACAATAAAAGCTAAACGACATTTGTAAAAGTACTCCCCACTCCTCCTCCCCCTTTAATCTTTTACTATTAGAAATCAAATAGAGCGAGAGAAATACATTCTAACTCATTGAGACGTACCGGCGTCCACGTCTTTTCAAATGTAAATGTTGGTCAGGAATTTCAAGGAGGGTTGGTCGTTAGTGAGGCTTCGTATAGCACAACACACAGGTTTCAAGGTGTAAAACCACAGCCTTTACACGCATACCTCACATATCCTCAGCATACCTACACATCACCCCCACATACCCCCACACGTTTTGACCACACACCTTCATATTTCTGAACACACTTTTCACATTTCCTCCTCAGCATACTCCCACACCAACACATACCCCCCACACTTTTTTGTCCACACATCTTCATATTTCCCAACACTCACTTCACATTTCTTCCGCAACTCTTCAACATACCCACACATTTCTTGCACATTTCTTGCACATTTACTCCACACACCCACACCATTCCTTCAAATACCCACAACTTACTACCACACACCTATTTCATTCATACACACATCGCTACATTTATTTTTAACCAACACGAACTATTTCTTTCTTCCATATTCCACAGTCCCATCCCTGATTCTTATACTCCGTTCTTTATATTTTTCTTCCACGTCTTACTCTCGTTAAAAACTCACACCTATCCAACATAAACACACTTTACATATGTACACATTCTGTACAAACTCACATTTCACAGATATACACAAACACATACACACATCGTTTACACACCACAACTGTATGTGCTGACTAAAGAAGGGGGGAGGTACATAGCGGATCACCGTGTTTCTGGTGGATATTTGTACTTGTCTGGTGGATCTTTGTACTAATCTGGTGGATCTCTGTACTTGTACTAGTCTAGTGGATCTTTGTACTTGTAATCTTTGTACTTGTCTGGTGGATCTTTGTACTTGGTGGATCTTTGTACTTGTCTGGTGGATCTTTGTACTTGTCTGGTGGATCTTTGTACTTGTCTGGTGGATCTTTGTACTTGTCTGGTGGATCTTTGTACTTGTCTGGTGGATCTTTGTACTTGTCTGATGGATCTTTGTACTTGTCTGGTGGATCTTTGTACTTTGTGGATCTTTGTACTAGTCTAGTAGATCTTTGTACTTGTCTGGTGGATCTTTGTACTTGTCTGATGGATCTTTGTACTTGTCTGGTGGATCTTTGTACTTTGTGGATCTTTGTACTAGTCTAGTAGATCTTTGTACTTGTCTGGTGGATCTTTGTACTTGTCTGATGGATCTTTGTACTTGTCTGGTGGATCTTTGTACTTGCCTGGTGGATCGTTGTACTTGTCTGGTGGATCTTTGTACTTGCCTCGAAGATCTTTGTACTAGTCTGGTGGATCTTTATACTTGCCTAGTACTTGTCTAATAGCAATTATTATGGTGGGCTGTCTGCTTCAGTTTCTTGTTAATTAGAGTTCGGATCCCGGCTCGAATCTGGAGGACACAACTGAGTCCACCCAGCTCTGATGGGTTCCTAACTCACGTTAGGAAACAAAAACGGCTGGGCATAGCGCTGACCACACTATCCTCTCGTATTCTGAGGTCATTGAAACAGGTGAACTCTACTTTATCTGCCCTAGATGTCATGAGCACGAACGGTAAAAGATGATGATAATCGTTAGGGTCAAACGACAGTATAGGCTGGTTATTGAGTTCGTTTGATCAATATCATGAGGTTGGCCTGATCGATGTTTGTTCTTGTATAATCAATAATTTTCTTTTTCTGATCAATAGTTTTCACTCTATGATTAATAGTTTTCATGCTTGATCAATATTTGTTCTAACATGAATGATATTCGTTTCTGTGGATTCATTAAAAGGCTTCGAAGGGTCCATGTAATGAATTGGTGGGTCAATGTAAGAATTTAGTGGGTTAGTCTAAGTGACTGGGGCGTCAATGTAAAGGTTCGATGGATCAAGATAAAGATTTGGTGGATCAATGTAAGAATTTAGTGGATCAGTCTAAATGACTGGGGCGTCAATGTAAAGGTTTGGTGGATCAATTTACACAGTTTTGTATGATTGATACATGTTTTAAAAGTAAAAGTAAAGTAAAGATTCTTCTATAGCACGGGTTCCCAACCTGGGGGTCGCGACCCCCCTGGGGGTCGCGAAGGTCTTTTTGGGGGGTCGCCAACTGGTATACTAAACCTTAGTAGTTTGAAACAAAACATAAATATTTAGAAAAAATTTTGAAATTCGGCTTTATTAACATCACTGGAAATGTAATAGAGAAGAAACAAAGCGCATTGTACAAAGTTGTTCTCAGTCACGCATGTATACAATCTTCAAAACTAAAACGTCATTTGAGACGAGTCATTCGGAACACACACAAAAATATATGGAGTTCTTTCGTCGGTAAGAAGCTAGTTGCAAACGCCAGAGACTTGATCGAACAGGAAGTTTTCACCAGCATTAGTGCAAGCATCAAATGAAATCGCGATAGAAAATGCCAAGCAAAAAAAAAAAAAAAAAAATAGGAGAAAATCTCATCAAACGCTGCATGTACGTTAATGTTAAATAACACATTTTTATTGAAATTAAGCTTTCACCATTGTTTGCTTTTCAAGTTGATAAATCAACAGACGTGAGTTCGTGTTGGCAGTTGCTAGTCTGTGTCTATATTCATGCGGATAATAGCAAAGAAGAGTTGCTATTTTGTGAAGATAGCATGGAAAAAATAAATACTATTTTTTTTTAAACGGGATGATTAAAATGGGTTAGAACGGCTGTGGGGGTTTGTACGGATGGTGCGCCATCTATGTTTAGCTCAAAATCGGGCTTTCAGAAAACAGAAAAGATTTAGCTCCCTAACCATTACCCTAACCAATCGACATCAAGAGTCCATTGCTAGTATAAGTCGTAAATTATATGAAATCTGGAGCCTTCAAAGAACTGAGCAAAAACATTAATATAGATCACGAGGTTCTGCTCTTTTACACTACAGTACGCTGGCTGTCAAACGAAATGTTGTAAATTGTGTTTTTGAATTGAAATCTGAAATCAAATTGTTCTTGAAAGTGCAAAGGAAACAAGACTTTTTGGTATACTTAAAACGACATAGAGTGGTTTAAGAGAGTATCATACCTAGCAGATGTGTTCGAACATCAAGGTAAGCTTAACCTGAAGATTCAGGGAAAATTAACGAATATTACAACTTTCCATGATAATCTCGGGGCATTTTTATCAAAGCTGCAAAATCGGTAAAGAAAATAAATCTTGGAAATATTGTTAATTTGAGAAACTCTGCGGTGTGGTAGATGAATCTGATTGGGAGATAATTAAAATTTTGAAAGAAGCGATTTATGGGCATTTTGAATCTCTTGAAAACGAACTGCATCGCTATTTCTCTGAGCTGAAAAAAGAGGAATCTGCATTTACGTATTATCCATGCTCTTCTTCCATTGATGTTGCCAGCATTCCCGATGAATTACAAGATGAATTCTTTGATTTGCAGAATGATTCCGAGTAAGATGAAAAACTGCAGACACAATTTTGGTGTAGTATTCACCATTCATACCCAAACGTAAAATTTATTGACTTTTCGAGAATATATTTTCAACACTATTCTTTGATTAAAAACAAAATTAAGATACTTATAATGACATAGGTTGGCGTTAAAAATTTTTTTTTAAATTAAAAACTTAACCACGAAGGTTTAGTGAATAGTATGCAATTTTACTCATGCTATTAAAACAGTTATCAAGAGTAGTTCATATTGAAAGTCTACTAGCAAATCTTATTATAGTGCTTATTACTTTCCATACTAATTTCGGCTTTTTAATTCTATGGGGGTCGCGGGTCACTTACTTTTTATAAAAGGGGGTCGCCACTCGAAAAAGGTTGGGAACCACTGTTCTATAGACTTATAGATCCATTGGGCAGATGAAGTAGAGTTCATATATTTCTTGACCTCGGCATATGAAGGGAAGGTGTGGTCAACGGCTTTACTTTCCCTAACATGAGTCAGGTACCCATCAAAGCTGGGTGGACTCATGGACATTCTACTTACTAGAACCCCGATTTGAACTCGAGACTTACGAATTAGCAGCCTAGCGCTCTACCGCTTAGGCCACGCCGTTAGGTTCTAAATGAAAAAAAAAGGATAATTTCATGGAGTAGAACGGACATTTTTTATGCACCAAAGGACTTAAGAATAGTTGAGCCGGATGAATAGTTTCAGCCATTGTAGGTTCAATTGTTTTCATCCTACCTGTATTGGCTGTGATGAATATTTATTGATGTATTTGTAGACTGAAAAAAATAATTTTTTACCATTTGGAGTAATGCGCTTTTTGGATTAGTGGGCTTTTCGTAATACGGGGGTTTAAAGTATTGAGCTTTTTGAATATTGGGCTTTTGGAAAAGTGGTATTTGGTAAAAGTGGTTTTCGAAGAGTGGGTTTATCGAAAAGTGGGTTTATCAAAACAGTGGGTTTTAGAGCTGTAAGGAGATGTAGAGATGTAAGGGAAAATGGGCTTGATGTTGTAATCGGTTGGGCTGTAAGGGCTAGTGGACTTGCAACTGTAGGGGCGGGTGGGCTTGATGCTGTAAGGACAAGTAGGCTTGATGCCGTAAGGACAAGTGGGCTTGATGCCGTAAGGACAAGTGGGCTTGATGCTGTAAGGACAAGTGGGCTTGATGCTGTAAGGGCTAATGATTCGCGTGTTGTAAGGGCTAGTGGGCTTGATGCCCTAAGGACAAGTGGGCTTAATGCCCTAAGGACAAGTGTGCTTGATGCTGTAAGGGCTAATGGTTTGCGATATGTAAGGGCTAGTGGGCTTGACGCTGCAAAGACAAATGGGCTTGATGCTGTAAAGGCAAGACAGCTTGCTTAAAGCTGTAAGCATTAAAAAATAAGCAAATTCTAAGTAAGCTTATAAAGATAATTAATCAGTAAACAGTTATAAAAACTGTAGAAAGTATGCGTTTTTCATTTCATCACATTCCGAACATAATATGTTGTTTTCTACGTGTTTTAATTACCTACAGTACTGTAGTTAAAAAAACAACAACACCTTTTTACCTGTTCGCCTCATTGGTAACAGCCAATTTACATTACATGCTAATGATGTACACAAAATGTCACATGTTGCAAAGTTACAAGCCTAATCTAGACCCAATGGTAAAAAAAAAGACTAGAGAGAGGAGATGCCTAAAACATAATAACATGCATAGGCTACATACTATATACACTAATTATATACAGAGGCGTAGCGAGGGCGGGGGGTGCGAACGGCACCGGGTGACACCATTTATGGGGGTGACACCAAGGCAAAAATTGCAAAATGATTAATTAATGTTAGTCTTTTAAGTACACATTGACAATTATTATAAGAGGGTGGGGGTGACACCATGACGTAAACGTGCTAACTATAGAGAAAACAATGCTACATCCAACTGTATTATTAACAGACTATAGATAAACAACGTTGTTATTAAGTCTGCAGTAATTAAAGCTTATACACGTACATGTACCCGCATGTGGCATATATTTAAATTATAGACCTCTTTAGGCCGACACACACACATACAGACACACACAGACAGATATATGTATATACAATTTGCTTTATTTGGGGGGGGGGGGGGAAGGGGGGCGTGACACCATGAAGTGCCGCACCAGATGACACCAGACCCAGCGACTCCAATATATATATATATATATATATATATATATATATATATATATATATATATATATATATATATATATATATATATATATATATATATATATATATATATACATATATGTATTATATCTAGGAAAAATTGAGTGTCATGGCCTTAGTATAAAGCTATAATGTGCGGTCAGTTCTAAAATCTATTCCTATTTCATGTTATTTCAGCTGAAATGCTCTTTTCAGCCCTAAAAATATTAAAAAGCCTGTTACCGAATCATTTAAAAAAAAAAAAACTACTTCAGTTGTATTTTTTATGCGTGTATATATGTATATGTGAGTGTTTATGGATGTATATAAATGTTTGTGTATGTGATTGGATGTATGTATATGCCGGTAAACATATCAACACATTTATATGTCGATGGAACAGTCATATATTTTACTATCTCTAACAAAGATCTATATAGCATAAGGGGGATGAAAAATCTCCACACAACACAGCAGTAATCGCCCCCTCCTAAATCCCCCCCCCCCCCCCCCCCCATATATCCTTTCTACAGAAGAAAATACGACACCAACTCATAAGTCATGTATAACTACCCTCTGTCAAACAGCCCCCAACAAATTACCAACGTATGACGTAACTCGCACCGACCACCTTGAGGTTAGTTTTCAGCTGACCTTTAAGACTGAGCCTC